TGCACTCACATACATGTAGGCAATACACTCATACACATAAAATAAAAATAATAAATAAAATATTAAGAAAAAAAAAAAGATTTACATCTGTGACTCCCACACTGGAACATGAGGCCCACCAACATTACAAAAGCACTGTAATCAATTGAGATATCCAAGCCTAACAGCTTATATTTGTACTAAAAGCAGGATTTTTTTTGGGTGGGGGGGTCTTTTTAAGACAGGGTCTCCCTGTAGCCCCAGCTGTCCTGGAACCTACTATGTAGACCAGACTGGCCTTTAACTCACAGAGATCCGCCTACCTCTGCCTCCCGAGTGCTGGGATTAAAAGTGTGCGCCACCATGCCCGGCTGAAGCAGGATTTTTTAAGCTGCTACTAAATCTAGTATAATCCAAATCCTAGTTAGTAACAAACTGTAAACAAACAAAAAGTAATGAATTAAGTTCCTTTCCTCAGAATTCCAGCCCTTCCAAGTTCCAAACAAACGCCCCAGGCTCATGAACTAATGAGTCCTTTGCCCTAAAAATGAAAAACTCAGATATTATGCATGTTTTTCTTTGCTGTTTTTAGAGAAACATTTGTAGATGATGAGAAAAATGCCTTCAAATGATTTGGAACCCAGTATCTCACATGCATGTTTTGGAATTTCAGCAATGGTTGCATTTTATAAGCAGAAGGGTGAGACCCTCCTGCCCTTGAACAGATGGTGGAATTCTAGCAGCAGCCAGTGCCAGCCCAGCTGAGCCCTAGGAAGTGAGCTGTGAATACTTCACATTCTTTCCAACCACAATGTGAGCTGAGCACAGGGAACTGAAGCCTCCAGTGAAGGAAGGACACAAGGAAGGGTAACTGGTTCTGTGCACTCGAAAGTGTACGAACATCCTGATTTAAAGATACTATGCAGCCTGCACAAACAGAGCCTGACAGTTTAACAGGTCAACTGGTTCACAGAGAGGTGGTGAGGCCCAGCACACTTCAGTTCTGTCTATACTCACGGGCCAGGATGCCTCTTGAGCACACTCTGATGTTTGACAGCTGCTTCCTGGAACAATGGATATCTTTTCTTCATAGTTTTTCTGTCAAGGCAAGAACAAATACTGATAAGCACCAAGCTTTGGCTTTTGGCGAGCAAAGACATTTTCTCCTACCTTATTAGGATTGTTCGTATGCTTTTTCACAGTGGTTACCTGTTAGGGCTTTTTTTCCCCCTTGAGACAGGGACTCCCTGTAGCCCCAGCCATCCTGGAACTCACTATGTAGACCGGGCTGGCTTTGAACTCATAGAGATCCGCCTGCCTCTGCCACCCGAGTGTTGGGACTAAAGGCCTGGGTCACCAGGCCGGGCATTAAGGCTTTATTAAAAAGCATATTTAGCTGGGCGTGGCGATGCACGCCTTTAGTCCCAGCACTCGGGAGGCAGAGGCAGGCAGAGCTCTGTGAGTTCAAGGCCAGCATGGTCTACATACTGAGTTCCAGGACAGCTGGGGCTACAGGGAGACCCTGTCTCAAAAAAGACCAAAAAAAAAAAGAAAAGAAAAGTGTATTTAGAGCTATTTTTAGTCATGTGTTTCCCATAATTACTTTTATCCTCATGTGGGGTTGTGCAATCAGACAAACCTGAGTTTAAATCCTATGTCCTGCCACCTACTAACAGGGATCACTGAGCCTTTGGCTTTCTAGGTTGTAACATGGGGCCCCGGATTTGGTATGGAAGACCAAAACGCCGGTGAAGATATGAAACTGGCTCTCGGAAATACAGTTCTCTCCTGTGCTTCTCCTGGAAGCTGGGGACTTGCAGGGGACACTGACTGCACCCCTGAAGGTCAGGCACACTGAAGCACTCTTAGGAGAGCTCAGGCCAGGGCCCAAAAGGGGAACTTTGACAAACCCTGGTGATCCTCTGAGTCCAGAGAGGAATGCAGAGGGTTCTTCAGCCTGTACTCAGCCCACACACATGCCCACAGCTCGTATGTTTGCTGCACCCCTTCACCCTACAATGACCACAAGCCAGAGAAGTCAGGAGTCTAACTTGGGGATTAGACTCTGGACTTGAGTTTGCAATCTTTGAGCAATCTTAAAGCAGGGACGTTTAAGAAAATCCACAGCCAAAAGCACTCTCCTCAAACCACCCCCACCAACTCCTGCTGAACAAATAGAACCTTTGTTGTCACCATGACAATACACAGTAAAAGGGAAGTGAGTGTGTGAGGAGAGGCCTACTACAGCAGCTGTTATTACCTTCAGAAAAAGTGTTTTGTGAGGAGGAAGGTCCCAGCTACTCTGGAAGCTGAGGCAGAAGGATCACTTGATACCAGGAGTTCAAGACCAGCCTAGGCAACAAAGCAAGACCCTCTCTGAAAAATGAAAAATATTTTGAGATTTCCACCCTACTTTCTATTTCCTTTTTAAAAATTACCAAAGACAATCAGATACATAGAGATCAAAGACACACGTGCAAACATGCAAGTGTTAGTAGTATTAAAAATGTAGGAAACGGGCTGGAGAGATGGCTCAGGGGTTGAGGGCACTGGCTGTTCTTGCAGAGGACCCGGGTTTGGGTCCCAGCACCCACATGGCAGCTAACAGCTGTCTGAAACTCCAGTTTCAGGGGATATGATGGCCTCTTCCGTCCTGTGGGTATTGTATGACACGGGTGCGCTTGCCTACATGCAGGCAATGCATGAATACACATAAAAAAAAAAAAAGTAGGAAACAGCATATCTTAAAATGAAATGGAGATCTTCTTTAAAAGGTAATAACTCATTCAGTTTATGTCTTACAGGGTTTATACTGAGTTCAATATTGTGTGACTATATTAATTCAACTGTGAACCTAAAAATTTACAGACACCTTTGAAAGAGATGTATCCTTGCTCTGGAATGTGTTACTGAGTATGTTAAAACTGTAATGAAATGCTTCTTCTAATCATGTGGTTATTAAATTTTAAAAAATTTTTTAAAAATTACCAAAGACATGACAGCACTATCTCAGCAAGACAGATAATTATTTCTAAAAAATCTCTTTTCTGGAGGTTGGAGAGATGGCTCAGTAGCTAAGAGTGTGTACTACTCCTGCAGAGGCTGCAGAGGACCTAAGCTCATGTGGCAACTCACAACACCTGTAACTCCAGCTCCAAGAGATCTGAAACCCTTTTCTGGCCTCTGTGGGCATCTGCACTTATGTGCACATACCCAAATAGACAAGTAATTAAAAATAAAGTCTTTCTGGGCTTGGTGGCAAAAAGACCAAAAAAAAAAAAAAGTCTTATGGTTTTTTTTGAGACAGGGTCTCCCTGTAACCACAGCTGGCCTGGAATTCACTATGTTAGACCAGGCTGGTCTTGAACTCACAGAGATCTGCCTGCTTCTGCTTCCTGAGTGCTGAGATCAAAGTGTACACCACCATGCCCAGCTTCTTATTTTTATTTATTTATTTTTAATAACATCTTTTAAAAAAAATCTCTTTTCTATCCCTAGATATAGAAGAGGCTATGTGGTTCTTAAGCCTGCCCAAGAACCCCACAGGCCCAGACTATAGTACAGGCTCAACTAAAGATCCTGTAAGTGAAATAATGAGTCTTCTGTTTTGGACAAACTCCTATTTCATGCTCATTACTGGAAGCTCACTGAGGCTGTGAGATGACGCACGTCTTTTGAGCACTGTAATGCTGAACCACATAGGCATCCAATAGCAGAGAATCCCACTGGGACTCTCAAATCAGGTCTCAACCTTGAGGGATTGCAGGCACAGCACAGAACAGCTGAAGATACGTACCTGACTGTGCCCTATATCTGAGTATACATGCTGCTCCGGCAGCTCCCTTCGGTGATAACGAAAAACATGGCTTGCCCCTCCTTCCTCTGGCACAGTCGAATGGTATCTCTAGAGAAGCAACGAGGAAGAATATTTGACAAATATTCTGGTCAAACTGTCAAAAACACCCTGATATTTGTATTTAGTCTTGTTAGAGCAAAGGTAAATGACCTGTCCTCTCCACAGGCCTTTGATGCCACACAAGCCTGAAGCCAAGTGGCTGCAGACACAGACTGCATTTGGCACAGCTTTGCTGCCACCTGCTGCCTCTGGAGGGCAAGAACTCTGGCCAACTAAAGGAGAGCAGGATCACGTTCTTTGCCAGGTTAGTTTTTCACATCTTGGCTCCAATGTCAAGTTACACACACTCTTTCATTTCCTCCCTGACCAATTCAGATCAATAGTTCCATGTTTACTTTCCGGTCTAAGACATGAAGAGGGTTATTTCCTTACAATGCAGAAATACACCAGGATAGAGAACACAACCCACAGGTACTAGCAGGGGAGTTGAAGGAGATGTCTCTAGCTTAAGAATAATCCAAAGGTGGGCTGCAATGGTTAAGAGCAGTGGCTGCTCTTACAGAGACCTCATGCTTCGTTCCCAGCACCCATTTGGTGGCTAACTCCAATTCCAAGGAATTTTCTGGCCTCTGTAGGCATTACATGCATGTGGTAGACTTACATACATGTAAACAAAACTCATACACATGAAGTAAGAAATAAGTAGGGCCGGGCGTGGTGGCACGTGCCTTTAATCTCAGTAACCAGGAGGCAGAGACAGACGGATTTCTATGAGTTCAAAGCCAGCCTGGTCTACACAGGGAGTTCCAATCAGCTGGGGCTACAGGCAGACCCTGTCTCAAAAAGACTGAAGAAAAAAAAAAAGAGAGAGAGAGAGAGAAGAAAAGACAAGACACAGGTAAAAATAATCCAAAGGATCAGAAAAGTTACATTTTTCTTGTCTAGTCCTCCTCCTCCATGTTAACCTTAGATCTCCCTTAGTGAAGACATCACAAGCCTGCTTGTTTGGAACCTGCTCTACGGACAATGTGGAAGGCATGTAAAGAGAGGAATGCGAGGCGGGGGAAGGCACTCATGACCTGGATCTATGAGAACATTTTAAGGGTTGCTTCAAATTTGTGAAGGCAGATCCGGAACACCATTCTAAATCTTCCAAAGGCCAAAGGATCCTGAGGCTAAATTCTGTAAGAGATTTGAACCAAAGCATGAAACAAAAACCAACACAAAGAACACCAGTTTGCTAAGCCGCAAAGACAAATATTATTCCTTTGACTGAACCATGAACCAAGTGTTTTAAGTTAATCTTTTAGAGTAGAGCTGAAGTTACAGACTATTCTAGAATCACCTTAATACAAATGAAAATATTCGCTGAACCATATCTCATTGGTTGAAATTCTATTTCTGGGGTCAAAAGAATGTTTGTAAAAGAGGTAGAAGCTGGGCATGGCAGTGCACATCTGTACTCAGAAGGTAGAGGCAGGAAGATTAGGAGTTCAAGCCTAGTTTCAAGTAGGTAGCAAGTTTGTGGCAAGCCTGGGCTACATGAGTTCTTATCTCAGAACAGGAAGGTGAGCAGTTTTAGAGACCTTAATATATGAACTGTAAAAGCAGAACAGAAGGGATGCCTTTCCTTCTCTCTTATGTACGAGTAAGCATTTTCTTTTTTATTTGTCTTTTGAGACAGGGTCTCCCTATAGTCCCAGCTGACCTGAACCCACTATGTAGAACAGGCCTTGAACTCACAAGGATCTGCCTGCCTCTGCCTCCCGAGTGCTGGGATTAAAGGTGTGCGCCACCACGCCCAGCTGCATTCGTTTTAAATTTTTTTTTTTTTAATTTTATGTGTATGAGTGTATTGCCTGCATGTATGTAAGTGCACCCATGTCATGCAACACCCGAGGAGGTCAGAAGAGTGCGCCACCATGTGGGTGCTGGGAATTGAACCTGGGTTCTCTGCAAGAGCAGTCAGTGCTCTTAACCACTGAGCCATCTCTCCTGCCCCAATACCAGTAAGTATTCTCTTTCTTTGGTCTTTTTGAGAAAGGGTCTCCCTGTAGCGCTAGCTGGCCTGGATTCGCTATGGAGACCAGGCTGGCCTCGAACTCACAGAGATCCGCCTGCCTCTGCCTCCCAGGTGCTATGATTACGCCCGGCCTTTTTTTGTAAATTTATTATTTTTATTTTATGTGTATGCGTGTATTGCCTACATGTAGGTAAGTGTACCCATGTCACTGGATCCCCTGGAACTGGAGTTATGGACAGTTGTTAGCTGCCATGTGGGTGCTGGGATTCGAACCTGGGTCTTCTGCAAAAACAGTCAGTGCTCTTAACCGCTGAGCCATCTCTCCAGCCCCACCAGTAAATATTCTTAAAGCCAGAAGACTCACATGTTAAGCCTGGCATGATGCAAAGAAACAGGCAGTCTTTTCCCTCCATGTTGGCTGGTCTGCCTTCAACATTCCCTCAAAACACTTACAGATGACAAGTGAGTGAGTTTCAGAAGGACCTAAAATCTTTGTTTACCCATTTCGGTGAATGATGCTTTAAAAACTCATTTAAAGCTGGGCACGGTGGCACATGCCTTTGATCCCAGCACTTGGGAGGCAGAGGCAGGTGGATCTCTGTGAGTTCAAGGCCAGCCTGGTCTACATAGTGAGTTCCAGGACAGCTGGGGCTATAGGGAGACCCTATCTCAAAAAAGACTAAAACAAACAAACAAACAAACAAACAAAACAAAACAAAGCAAAAACTTCATTTAAATCTTACATACTATAATTTGTGGTAAGTTGCTCCTCATCTCTCAGTGTAAACCAAAGAAATAAACTATAATAAAACCTGGGGATTTAAAAATCTTAATTTCAGCATGGGAAACTAAAGTGAATGATGGAGGCTTCATGTTCTGAAATGCATCCCAACTTCACCATGTTCCAGTCACATGGCTTGGTGAGGCTTAAGAGTGACCAACAGGCCAGCTATAAGTCACAGAACATGTTTGATTCATGGGAAACCCTTCCTGCCATTAAAAAACACGCACACCTCACCAGAGACCTGCACCTGTTTCAAGCATATGGCCATCTCTGTCACCAATAACTAATATTAATTTTATTGCATATGTATGTTCTGCCTGCTTATATATAAGCGCACTACCAGAAGAGGGCGTCTAATCCCCTGGAACTGATGGTTGTTAGTTACCATTTGGGTGCTGGGAACTGTATCCAAGGCTTCTGCAAGACCAGCCAGTGCTCTTAACAGCTGAGTCATCTGTTTGGCGCCACTATTTATGGATCCAGTGGGATACACTTAAAAAGTCCATCACCAGGTACTTGAATATTAAAGGTTAAGACCTAATGTACAGATTTCAGTTTTTGATTCAACACTTTTAAAAAATAAACTCTTGCCAGGTATGGTGGCGCACGCCTTTAATCCCAGCACTTGGGAGGCAGAGGCAGGCAGATCTCTGTGAGTTCAAAGCCAGCCTGGTCTACATAGTGAGTTCCAGGCCAGCTGGGGCTACAGGGAGACCCTGTCTCAAAAAGACCAAAAAATAAAAAAATAAATAAAATAAAATAAGCTCAGTACAATGATTTTGAAGATTTGTATGTATGTATGTATGTATGTATGTATGTATGTATGTATGTATGTGTCTTCTTGAGACAGGGTCTCCCTACAGTTCTAGCTGGCCTGGAACTCACAGAGATCCTCCTGCCTCTGCTGGGATTAAAGGCGTGCACCACCACCACCAGGGATTCTGAAGATTTTAACCAGCTCAAAGTTTAAAAGAAAAAGGAGAGGCTGGAGAGTGGGCTCAAGAGTTAAGAGCACTGTCTGCTATGTAGAGGACCAGGTTTGGTTCCAAGCACCCACGTGGCAGATAACAACCATCTAACTCCAGTCTGAAGCCCTCTTCTGGCCTCCTTGGGAACTGTATACACATGGTGCGCTGACATACACTCATACACATAAAATAAATTTTTTAAAAAGAAAAAAGAAACGTCCTCAAATTTGACTTAATTGTGAAATTTAGCAAATAAGCACCCCACCCCTCAACACAATTTAAACAACGAGGGCAAAAATCTTTTCTGGTTTGCTTTCTGATGAATCTTCAACAACTAAAGTCAAGAATTCCATAAATATTTGTTGGATGGAACTTAACTTTCATTTACTGCCAGGCTTAATTAAGTAGTTACAATCTGTTCAGGAAAGCCTGCAGGGCATGGGGTAAAGAGTGACGATTCTCTCCTAATGGTCAGGGGCACAGCTTTGCTTTCACAACTTACCCCACACTGACTTGAGGTATAGTCCATGAATTCAGCCATTGTTCTGAAGGAAACACTCAGGGATGGGTACGTTTCTTCTCTCTAATTGAATAAATGGCAAATCGCAGGTGAGGTCTAGGATTCCCCACTGACTAATGACACCATTTTAAAAATAGCCTTTTTCACTCCTGGGAAGGCCTCTCCAAGTTTAAGTCAGTAAGAAGGATCTTGCTGGGAAAGAACTCTTAACTCAGCTAAGACACACATGATGCTTATCCACAATATAAAACTTAGGTTGTCTGGTTTTGCTTAATATCAGGTAGCTGTATATAATTTTCGTTTTGGTTTTTGAGACGGGGTCTTCTGTAGCCCAGGCTAGCCTTGAACACACTAATGTAGTTGAAGATGTCCCAGAACTCTTGGTCCTCCTGCCTCCCTCTTCCAAGTTCTGCACTCCCCCACGCACACCTTTAAAGTGACCAATTAGGGCTGAACACTGCCATCCGTACTCTTCAGCTACTCAAAAAAGAACCGGTCACACCGGGCACCCACACCTTTAATCCTAGCACTTGGGAGTTGAAGGGAGGCGTTAAGGTCATCTTCAGCTTAGTAAAGTGTGTTCTGAAACCAGCCTGGGCTAACGGAGGGGCTGTCCCTAAATATAATTGGCAGAAGTGGTTTTCAAAGGACTTTTCCATTCACTGTAGTGATACTTTTCATCTTTCGGTCGTGGAAACAACCCCAGAGCCTTCCGGTGGGCTACCTCAGGATCGAGGAGGACAGGGTGGTCCCCACCATCCGCTCTCACCTCTCGCGGGAGGCGGTGGGAACCAGAGGCCGGCGGTCTTTCCGGGCAGGGCGGCTCGCGGTAAAGGACCCTCCTGCTGCCTCTGGGTCGCTCCGGGCAATGCCAGTCCACTGCCCTCCTCCTGGCGCGCTCCAGCACCTCCTGGCCCAGCCTAGCGGAGCGCTGCAGCGAGCGGCGGTCCACCCCGTTCAGCGCCGCGGCCGCCAGACAGGCCTCCATGGCTCCCTGGGCGGGCACACACACCCCTCCAGTCAGCTGCGACCCAGCGCCGGCTCTAGGGGACAGCTGACCCGCAACCCCCACTCTCCCTCCGCCCACGTCGCGCACTGGAGGTGGGCGCCAGTGGAGCCGCAGAGCGCAGGAACCCCGGCCTTCCCATTCCCGCCCCCAGCCCAGTCCGGAAGCCCTCACTCGGCTCACTGCTTCAGACGCATGCGCAGCGTTCTCTGCGAGGAAGCCCGACCGCGCCGGCTCAGCAGGCCATTGGCGCTAGGCGGGAGGGGGGGGCGGCGGGAGG